TTTTTTTTTTTTGTAGTTTTACATGTGGCCAAAACAAAACAAATCAGCTAGTTTTGTTTAACTCTTCATTCAAAATTGCTGTTGGGTTAAATTTACCCTGATACAAATCACAGCTGAGATTTACGAGTTAAATTGCAGTAAATCTGTTTTAAAATCTTAAATGGATTTTATGCCCTGGCTATTTGTCCGTAGCATTAGAAAAATGTTGTTCATTTGTATGAGAAACATTGCATACAAAGGAATGTGTCAAAAATCTGCAACCAAATATCTGGTAGTATTATGAAAAAACTTAATTTGAACATTCATTTTGTCTGAACGCTATCAGGCAGTAAGCATTAATGTGATTAGGGAGCAAGTATAACTGTACAAGTGTTAGTAAACACAGAACCAGCACACTTTGCTGTTAACACATGACCTGCTGAACTGCAGTTTGTATAACTGTTTCTGTCTAAGGTGTGGGAAGACTAATAAAGCCCAAGAAAACATTTCCAGAATCACGGTATTAGGTATAAGGTGTTATAAAAACATTACAAGCTGTCAACACTTCATTATCACTATGGGTCAAAATAAGAAGTTTCAGACTTGCACACTTGGGGTTCAACCACCAATGTGAAAGGGCCTGAAGTATTCACCATGCCAGGCCTAACACATGCCGAGTTCCACCCACAAGATGGACGTTTTGATTTTTAAATTGGAAAGACTCATAAGTCCAAATTTTATTCTGCATTCAGGTGCAGTTTTTGGCCAATAATAATCAAGTTTGTTTTGCTTTGCCGCATTGGAATAAAAATAGTAGCTGGCTCTTTAAATGCCAACTTAAACAACAAGCAGAAGCATCTGCCAACTGGTTGCAACAATTGATCAAATAAACAAACCTGCATGCTCTATTGTAAACTATAAAAATAATAACCACTAAACAAAGACAAGATTGTGAGGTATAGTGATAACGAGAGGATATATTTTTTCTTTCTTGAGGGCACAGAAGGTAAGAGCAGCCTAGTGGCTCTATTGAAGTAATGATGCATTAACGTGTAACTTGCTGTTCAGTAAATGAGTCATGTTGATGCAGTCCCTCTGACAGATTTGGTAAATTCATTCAGTGAAGGATTAATCAGACTGATTCAGCCTGGCTCTTTTCAAATGATCTGTTTAAGGAATCAGTTCATATGAATCATTTGCTAATGAATCAGACTACACGTCCCACTGTATATTTGGGCCTGAATGAGCCTACCATTTATCATATTTAGGAATTCATGTGCTCCGAAATCACAAGATTTTGAGATAAACTTTCCAGTGTAAGTTAAATTAATTAGATATTGCATATGGTACAATACTGTGTTGTGAATGTATCCAGTTGGACAATCAAAGGTTCTACACACACTTGCGGTCTTCATGCCAACTTGAACACTTGGGCTTCTGAAAACACTGCTGGGATCTATGATGCGTCATGATATGCCCATCAACAAACTTGTTAATTGCCATTTAGAACTTCACATTTCCAGTAAGGCATCATTCTCACACTTATGTCCCACTTGTTTCTACTCAAGATCCACAGCTTGAAATCCGCTGCGTTACATCACCTAATTGACATTCATGTGTTTATAAGGTTACTTAAGGGTTGCGGTTGTGGGTTGCCGTCTCTACATGTTGGTTTCTGCTCACAATATGAGCACTGTAGTTGAATATGAATTTAATAGGAAAATAAATTTAATGGCTAGGCTCTTCAGAGACATGCAGAAAGAACCATTTCTAAGCCATTTATGTGGTCGTATTGATGTCTGCGTGAGTTTATGCGTATGTGTGCGCAACAGTGTGTGTTACATCTCAGGAAGGTGGTGAAAGGAACCCTGTGGAACTTCATAGCGCAGGTACCTTTTTTCAATTAGAAATAGGATTGGCCCAAGAGTCATGAGATTCAAATCTGCCCCAGACATAACACCCGGCTTTCAGATTTAACTCGCAGAGATTCTGCAGAATATGTACCATTGACTCCTGCTTCTTGTCGTATTCTTGGACCATTGCCGGCACTCTGTACTGAAGGTCAGCGTGTCTGTTCTCCGTGCTGTCATCGCCCACACAAATACGTCTCCTTGCAATTATGCAGCAATAGCACACTAATATGGTTCTATTAAACAACAGTAATACTCGATGGATCAGAACTCTTGAGAACTCGTCTTGCTTTTAAGCACAGCTGAGGAATTGCTGTGTTCATGGTCGGTTTATATAATCAGACGCTAATCAATGTTTCTTGGTGGCCCTAGAAGAATTCGCTCCTGGAGGGCTTTCGGTATGGGCCACAAAAAGAAAGAGATCTTTCAGTCAATGCAGCATTCCATGACATCCTTCTGAGCGAGGTAGTTTATCGCCATACATGCCAAAAGAATTAGTGCCGCTTACACAAAGAGTTTATCCACTCATGTTAAGAACTATTAAACTTAATGGGGCAAAAATGTATTTCAATAAACACATCTATAGGCTGTGTTTTTTACAGCAAAAAGAAAGAAACAAAGATCAAACCACTATGAATCCAAACATCTCATAATATGGCATCATTTCTATGCACTCCAGAACTCCTCCCTTCCAAGGGAATCATCCAAAGGGTGCCTATATTTGTGTAAAGAGCGTGCCCATTGAAAACACAGTCTCTCGTAAGAATTGTACTTCTCTTCTCAGTTCGCTGGGCACACATAGCGCAATGTGTACACAAGTTACTCTGGGAATTTTCGACTGTTTCCATAGTGACTCATTCATGTGGGTCTGCTTGAGCATTCCATCTCCTCAGAAACCACTCTGGTCTCCACAGGCCATCCTCTGTTCCAGAACATTCTCCTTTTCAGATCGACTCGGGACACACAAAATCACAAGCAAATTAGAGTCGAGCGAGAGAGGGAGAACAGGGAGCTAAATGGAACTTCCTGCAATTTCGAAATTTGAGCAATTTTGACTCTGTCGGGTGGTTTGTAAACGGTTTCTACATGTATAAAAATGTGTAAAATGCAGAAATGGCTCCGTCTGTTCAGAAGGGAAATAAATAAATGAAAAAGCTTTATTGTGATTCTTCAAGTGAGCATACCGAAATATGCCTAGACCTCCACCCACACCTCCACTGCTGAGTGTATGTGCATTTATTGCATTGAAAGCCTGGGCTGTTAAGAGGCATATAACCTCATTCACTTTCAGAATGGGTTGAAAGGGTGGGTCTGGTCCTGGACCTGGTTTATTACACAATAAAGAACTCAAAACATACTTGACTGCTCGATTGGAATGGCAGCTTTGACATGGGGGAGTATTCATGTCAAGCAGACTAGTAATGACATCACCAGTGGGCCATGTTCAGGTGATGGAGTGCTGTGTCATGCTTTGTTTGGTTTTCCAACAGAAGCCATATTAATTAAAACAGAGACTTTGAGAAAAACATGTCGGGAGGACAATTATGTATTCAAGAAATGTCATTCATTGGAAAACTCAGTAAGTAGTAATTAGTTTAGAACATTCTCGGTTTGATTTTTATAGAACTGTCCAGTCTGCAATGTCAACATACAAATGAACAGCATGCATTTTCATACATTAATGCAGCTTTGTGCGGACCTGAGTGAGGCAAGTGTATCCTGTGACTCAACGGTAAAAACAAGTATAACTACACAAAGCATACACCATTGTACCAGTTACCAAATGTTTTTTTGTTTCTTTTAAGACATTTTTCAGATTTTATTCCTAAAATGCTCTTGTGTATAGAACTACTTCCTTGCCTTTAGTCTAGAAACACTTAAAACTGAACATGCCACTTAATAGCCATGCAAGTCTTTGTTTAAGAAAGTTTCACAAGCTTTCAGAATCAAGAATCCTGACTTTCTTTTGTTGTATAAACAAACAGTGGTCCCAGATGTTTTTGGACACTTAAGTCACAGATAAAAACGTGCACACAGACGTCCTAGCAGAGTAACTGCAGGTGTAGTTCTTCACATTATCTATGAACATGGTACACTAACGTTTGACAACTAGAATGTTTTCAAATATATCTGCATTTTGAACAGTATACAGTTGTTTCATCATTGTAAACCTTAACATACTTTCCTTGAAAAGTGTGTTTGTGGTATGTTTCTTTAAAATAAATGCTTCTGTTTGGGCTGATGTGCGTTGGTGCCTGGACATGGAATTTTGTTTCTCTCATGAGGAAAGATCCACTTATAATTGTTTGCATAAATGCTACTTGGTTTGATATATTGTTATATAACATTCAATCATTTTTAAGTGTGGCGTAAGTGTTACATTTTTTTTGGCCTACAAGTACATATAACATATGACCTTACAATAACATATGACCTTAAGTAAACAATGGCATATTACTGAAATTTAGCAATTAAATGTATTATTTTAATAATTCCCATCAATCCCCTCAAAAAACTGAAAATCACTGTGATTTGATCTATTAGTCTGGGGATACAATGGAAAAAGAGGACCTTTCAAGTACCATTTAAGACATTGGCAACAGGTCCGGAGGTTGCTGAGTGAGGCAGAGGAGTTATGCTCTCTATTTGTCCCAGATGTGTTTGATTCAGATCAGTATAGAGCAGTAGTCATGGGAAAGTGGAAGTAGCACATTTTACATGTTATAAATATGGTGACCTATCCAAGATAATCCTCTAAATAGTGGTGTCTAAAAAAAGTGAAAAATCTTTGTTCAACGGAAGATTTTACAAATTAAATGAGAAACAAAAAATGTTTGAGAACTAATAGGAAAAGTCTTTGACGTGTTGCGTTCCTCAAGGATCTAATTACATCTTTTCTTGACATCTGAGAATGACCTCAGACAAGAGGGTTTTTGTTGCATTTCCATCTCGGATCCTTTGATTTACTGTCTCGTGACGTTTACTGGAAACAGTGCGCATGCTGCTGTTCCTGCGAGCCAGGGAAGATCATCCATTCGTGTGTCATCTCCTTTGTGCTCCAGAACAGCTGTGGGAGACTTGGACACCATGCCACATGGCTGTGATGGCTCTTCAGCACTGGGTCGGTTCTTCGCGCTCCAGGGCATGTTGATATTCCCACAAGGTGTGTTTTTGAAACGCACTCGGTCTTGCCCTGCTCCGTTTCCCTCCTTTGACCTCCATCATCTCGCTGCCAGTCCTTTCATCCTGGCAAGGCTCGAAAGTGGGGGATACAGTGGAAGAATCACAGAAAGAAAGTGAGAAGAAAAAAAGACGGATTTATTGTTTCAGCGTGCCATTCAGCATTTGTTTTTGATATAGGGCACATGGTTGCATTTAAAGGGTTTAAATGAGATTGGTGTGTACCGTCTCGTTTCCAGCATACGTAACTTTTGCTACTTGTATGCTAGAACTGTCCTTATAAAATTCTTAAAGGGACAGTTCACCCCAAAATAAAAAGTCTGTCACTCACACTCATACCGTTCCAAAACGGTATGGCTTTCTTTCTTCTGTGGAACACAAAAAGAGATGTTTTGAAAAATTTTCACTCTGCTCTATTCCATATAATAAATGTGGGTGGGGAACAAATACTGTCAAGATCCAAAAAAAAAAAAAAGCATTAATGCATCATAAAAGTAGACTACATAATGCACTATATTTCCTTATAAGACTCCTAACCACAATATGAAAAAAAATTAAGATGATATTTACAAAAATATCAGCCTTGATCACAATTCACTTTCACTGCCTGTAAAAGAGTAGCTTGAACATTCTGGTAGATATCTTATTTTGTATTTTATGATCAAAAGATTTCAGGTTTTAAAACACACAAAGGTGAATTAAAAAAAATACATACATTTTTGAGTGAGCTACTCTAGTTAAAGTCGGAATCTATTTTCTAAATGCGTATTATAGATATTACAGTGAATAATTCATGCATGTATGTTTCTTTTTTTCTGTTTTGGCCTTGTTTAATTAAAATGTCATAACTTGAACTTTTGGTGAAAATGACTCCTTTCTGGTGATGTATGCAGTACTTCTCTAATTATTTAGTCTGCTTAAACCCATGTTGTTCACATAAATTTTTGATTGCAATGTCCACATCTCAAAATCCAATCAACAACCCATGCATAGAACCAAGTCCCCACCCTACTTTTTCTTTTTCAATAATCTGTTACCCTCAGGTATACGTCTCAATATGGACAGAACAGATATGTCGCTAATTCTGTTTAATTGCAACTTTAGGGCAATGAGGTGGACCGGAGGCAGACCTTAAATAAACTGTATTTGACTGGATGAAAGTTAAGGCGCCCTTCCTTTCATTTCTTGCCGTTGACCTGCCTTTAGACATGGGGAAGTTAAAGGAACAAAAATAGCTTGTAAAAATTAATTCCTTATGGTGGAAACGAGCTTCTTGGAATTCTTTAGTGCCTTCTCCATGAAGAACTTCAGTATTGGCCTGGTATGGCGTCCACACATGAGCAGCTCATACAGATGAGGATAAACATAAGAAAAATGATGAGGAGGTCATCTCGTAGTCTGGAGTCCATCCTTCTTATGCCGAGATTCATATTGGTTAAAGGTGACCGTGATGGTTAATGAATGCTGACACATCACTTTGTTTTGGATGCTTGGCCAAGGAGACGTCCTGCATTGTTAAGAAGGGAGAAAGAAGGAGTGAGAGAAATTCCTGAAAGCATATGGAAGAGTGATACATGCTTTCACACAGTACACAATCCCAGCTGTATATCCCCATGACACAGGTGTCTAATTCTGCCAAATGATTTACATCAAATGTCTGTGCGAAACCATTTCCTCTTCCCTCGCTTTCCAATATACACATTATACAGAATACATTGTATGCATAATCTAGCGAGAGGGGACAAGGGATTCGGCCTGATAGGGCTCTGCATGCGTTTTCCACTGTTTTTCTTGTAAATGTCCCTGAATCAAGAGGGAGTGGATAAAGAATATATTCATGAAATAATTTCCCAGCCCCAGAGATTCAAAAACAAGCAATTGGTGGACCCCGTGAGCAATCAAATACCAAATTAAAGAGAAACAGAAAAATCCATGAGAATGGAAAGAGGAAAAAAGGTCACAGACCACAATGCTCACAGCTACCTCTAGTGGCCCGATGTAATAAAACAATACTCTTAAACAATGAATTCATTGCATCAATGTGAATCAAATCACAAGGAAACTGCATCTAAAATTTATAAAACCGAATCCATACACTAGGTGCTGGGAAGTAGTAGTAGAAACAGTAAACTTCTTTCCATTTGTGATTGATGAGGTGTGGAATTCTGGAAAAAGAAGCCCAGATCATGACGTAAGGCGATTAACAGGTGTCAGGAACGGACTTTGAGCTGCGCCGGAGAAATGAATGGGTTTCAGCGAACGGCCATCCCCTTTCCACCGGTCAGCACGACCGTGAACCCCTCGGCTACACCATTAAAACGCACTGGCTCCCAAAACAGCCCTGTCCTGCACACGCACCAGTGAACCTCCAGGCCCTGATTGCTTCCACGTTGCTTGAGTAAACATCTGAGACGAATTAGGCCCTTGTTATTGTTGTTTGACTCTAACCACATCGTGGTGCCACGCTGTAGGAATAACAGTCTCACGATGCAAGGCCAATACACGACACTCCAGTTGGTCACGCTGGGGGTGATACCCAAGTACATCTTGAAGGCTACCTGTTAACATTAGACAAAAAGGCTCTTGAGTCTTCATGTTAACTCGCTTGCCTACATCTATGATGTCAGGGCCACATTAAGTGATTTTGCAGATCTGTCACATTCTTTTTAGGTGCTGTATTCACGACTCTGACACTGAAATGATTTGTTTTTTTGCACAACTGCACAGTACTAGTTTGAAAAGACGTTTTGAGGACAGGCCATAAGAAGACCAACATTTTGATTATTTTACATCACAGTAACAGTATATGACAATTTGATTATTTTTGCTGGAATATCAAGTACTTTTAAAATTAAATACCATTTAACTATTAACAATTTTAGATAATCCAAAGAATTAAATATATCAAAATGAAAGTTACTGATATGACAATGTTTTCTTTTTATTTTAGAAACCTGGACACAAACTGAAAAAATAAGATTACTATAAGGAGGCAGAATAATATATTTTAGGGATGCATGGCACCATTTTGGTTATAGGCCGATAGTACATTTATTTATTTATTTTTAATTGATGTCAGTTGCTATTGGATATTTACTTATGTAGCTTATTTCCCCAATTTTCAATCAAATCTCAAAATTAATATTTATTTTTCATACTGTAGATTATGATGTTGTGATGAAAATAAAATATAAATAATACATGAAAAGCTTAAACTTAAAAAACCTAAACGAAGATTAGAAATGGCAACTTTAAATTAAATTTTAAATAAAAATTTATTAAAGCTAAACATAAATAGTAAAACCCAAAACTAATAAAATGGCAAATGCACATAACAAAATTACTAAAACTTGAACTAAAATTAAAAGACTAAAACTAAAGTAAAAAAAAAAAAAAGCTATTTTAAATAATAACTATAATGTCTATAAATAATTCTACACTATAAAAAAATGATACTGTTTGGAGCATTTAAAGCAATTCCTTCCTAGTCTTTAAGACAACAATACAATGAATGAATATTAAAATTATTAATCAATTAATTAATATTAAAATATAAATGATTGCTTATATTGAACAGAATTTAAATATTGTGTATCCCTTGATTACATCCTTAGATATCAGTTTAAACACAGCTTCACAATAAGTAACACCATAATTAAATAGCTTTGATTCTAAATTCAGAATGGATGTGCCCTGTTTGAAGCCATAAAATAGACAAAATACACACACCTGTGAATGCACATCATTTGAATTCTATATTAATGCTCCCAGTCACTGCATTGCTTAGCAACCATAAACAACTAAACAAAATCCTTCACATTATAACCCTCATTAAAGTGATTTAATAAAAAACTGTTTTAAGACCCATAGGCTTAGGATTCTAATCAGGGTCCCATCAAACCGATGCACTGTGGATTAACATTTAACAACGTGGCACACGTGGAGGAAAGTGAGGAGAAAAAGACAGACAGACAGAAGAAGAACGGAGAACAGACAGACAGGGACCAAGCAAGCATGGACAGGTGATGGACAGGGGGAAGAACGCTCTGTCAATCCTGTCAGTGTGAACCCTATACGCTTAGGGTGAGGTGCATTGTTTCGTAAAAAAGCACTGTGGCTCTCCCAGACCAAAGAAAACAAGCCGAGAGGAACACGAGTGTCTCGGTTCACTCTAACACCGTACAGACGGCCTGCCAGTTGGCTTTGCGATAGCATAGCGTGGATGTTTCTCAAGCTGTGTGACTCTGAAAAATTAAAAAAGGTAGAAAGATGTGATGAAAGCTACGAAAATATGTGGGCTACTGTAGGTTGAAGTTCAAATTCCAGTCACTTGCTTGCGCATTAACATGCTTGCCTGCTTCCTGATTCTCTCTTTCTCTCTCTCGCTTGGTCTAAGGGAGGGCTCAGCATGCGCTCTGATTGGCTCCAAGTACTCACGTTACCTTTGCAATGACATCGGCCGTTTCTCGGAAATCGTGACACCTCCCCACGCTGGACCGAGCCAAGAAGTCCTCAATCAGACGCACTCCGATATTGTATCCCCTTGAAAGGATGGAAGAAGAGAAGGGAAACTGTGAAACTGTGTCACTGTCAGAGCAACTTCGCGTTCAATCGCCCTCATTTCACCTGCCAACGCAATCATAAGAGCTATAATCTCTTTTTATTTTAAAGGTCTTAGTAAAGCCTTTTAACTTCAAGGACTCAAAAAGAGAGATACAAACTTATTGGCTGGAGAGAAAATCGAATCTTGCATATTAGACGCTTTAAAGAAGCAATAGGAAAAAAGATTGTATTTCAGACATGCTGCCAAACCCAATATCAGTGGGACTACTGGATTAGTTCAAGGCACAGTTTAAATGAAAAGACCACTCAGCCAAAGAATACACGCTGCCCACTGATTCTCTAAATCACAACCGTTGGACTCCAAGTATCTCAGGGCTTTCCACGCATCCTCACTGCTTTTCCCACAATCTTTAAACCAGAGCTTCCCAACTGGTTTTGATTCAGGGCTTAGATTTTACAATTAAGTGTTGGGTTCCACACAACACAGTACCAACATTTTTCAACAAATAAAAGCAACAAATATTCACTTAAACATAAAAATGAATTAATACAATTAATTGCACAGGCCCCAAAATATGCAAAACTATTAAAGGCACAATATGTAAGATTTTTTTTATTAAAATATTCAAAAACCACTAGAACAGTCAGTGCTATATATTTAGCTGACTTGTGTACTTACATTATCCCAAATGTTTTGAAGGATGTTTAAATCCAGAGAAATAAGCAATCTTAACTAGTGTAACGGACCGTGTCCATAGTGTCATTGCGTTTCCTGCCAATGACGTCATAACCCCTCGATTTTTCCGGTTTTATTTTGTTGAAAACATGGAAACCCCAAAGACACTTTAATATGTTATGCATTTTATTAGACAGGTGACGAACGCACAGAGTAGCATTACAACAGAACTTTCAATACACTCAAATGTATCTAGTATAAAACAGTGCTGTTTTACCCCACATACGCATGACCAGAAGAAGCGGAAGCGGTCGACTGTGGCATAATAAAAGCTCTGCTGCTATCGAGCCGTGTATCGCGCTCGTCCTTCATTAGCAATCACTCCAGCGACCTCGTTTCGCTTCCACGACTTTTAGCCCCACCCTGCTTCATATTACAGTGACCTTAATAAGTCTTTAATACATTAGCTAATCAATGAACATGATTTCTGCCCGAGTCCCGTTGGATTGCATCAGTTGTGGGGATGAAGACGACAACTCCCATGATTCCACACCCAGTCACGGCATCATCAAACTACGCCTTTGTTTCTTGTTTGTTTTGAATATGCGCCCTCTAGCGACGAAAATTACATATTGTGCCTTTAATAGAAAAAAGATAAACAAAAATTATTCAAATAAAAAAAGATATATATTCTATTAGGATGGTTAATATGAGAAATGCACAACTGTTAGAGCAGAAAAATATTAAAAACTTCAAGTCAATAATTGCATGTAAATGTAATGTGACATTTCAGGGCAATTAACACTAGAGAAAATAACGGACATCTAAAAAATCTAAAAACTCGGCACACATTGTAGTGTGGGTCACATTTATTTATATTTTTTTACCTTGTGTAGTTTTGGTAGTTTTGTTGAGGATAAGTGCAAGTCATTCAACCTGTTCAGATTAACATCTGCCTAACTTTGACTAGCTTCCACTAAGTGACAGTTGCTGGAGATTTTGTTTTGGGAGGCATTTCTCTTCCCTTTTAAAAGCCGACAAGGCTAATGTACACTACTGTTCAAAAGTTATTCACCAAAGAATCTGAAAAAAGTTTCCGAAAAAATATTATGCAGCACAACCGTTTTAATCTGAAAAAAAAAATATTATGCAGCACAACCGTTTTAAACATTGATAATAAAAAGAAATGTTTCTTAAGCTTCTTAAGCACATATTAGAATGATTTCTGAAGGATCATGTGACAATGGAGTAATGGCTGCTGAAAATTCAGCTTTGCCATCAAAGGAATAAATTACATCGTAAAATATAGAACATTTATTTTAAATTGTAATAACATTTCAGAATATTACTGTTTTATCCTGTATTTTTTATCAAATTAATGCAGACTTGGTGACTTCTTTCAAAATCATAAGAAACTTCTGAACAATAGTCTACATGCATTTTATTATTTGCAGCGATTTCCCCTGCAACCCACCAGTGCAGTACAACATGAGGTGAAACATGAGATGAAACTTGCTAAAAAAATTAAATAAATAAAAAATAAATAAATCTCTATCATCCATCCATTTCATCTGGATCCACTCTAACAGTGGAATAGAATTTGAGAAGTATAGCCAAGTGGGGAACAGAATCATGCATCTGAAAAACCAGGGTTGTAACCTGCAGCTGCACAATTCATTTAGCAGGGAGGGGAGAGAGACAGCTCTCGAAAGACCTTGAGTGGCACATTTTATACTCTCAATACCACTCAACCCAGCTTCAGCAGACTGGATGGCACAATCACCACACCTAATATAACAGCCTACACCCAGCGCAAACACTGACAATACAACTCTCTCTATGTTGACTAGTGACTAGACAACCATAAAATAAATAGAAAGAGCAGTTATAGCATGTGAAAATCTAAACATATTCCTTACACTTTCATAGAATTTTTAAACTTCAATCTTAGAAAAGAGAAAATATTCATGCCATTTGTAAACTATTGATTTAATGTGACCAGATGGTGATGGATAGGTGAGAATCAGAGAAAGACAGACTTACATTTTATCCAGTTGTTTGTTGACTTCCTCGTCATTTTCATAGTCCTTACACAGCTGAGTAACCAGAGCTCCATAAGTGAGAGTGAATAATTCTGAATTCTGTTCAAGAAAAAGACAATGACCCAAAATGACCCACCACCATATTAATAATATCCACTGTGTTTACCTAAGAAAGACTGACACTGAATGCTACAGAATTTGACATTCCAACATTCCAGTGATCCTTTTTATGTATATATAATATATATATATATATATATAGTGTAATACAGCTTTAAATTTAGTTCCCCCCCATACATTAGAATGTATCCTGCTTCATTTTGTTTTTCTGAGCAAAAAATAATAACTATCATACATTTTTTTTACCATGATTTACAGAAGACCACTAAAATGTAATTCAGTGTAACAATATTTATATACCAATAAAGCTTGTTAAGCATATTTTAAACAAGAATCATTTGATGACATATAAAAAGACTATATTAAGGAGCACAGTGCAGCCCTCAAATACCAATTAACTTTAATGGGTTTTACCCATTTGTCAGCTAGAAGTTTTTGTAAGGAAGTGAAAGTCATTTAAAATATAATAACATTTAGTATGATCACATATTCTTTTATGTATTTTAATAAGCACAGGTCAGAACACGTATGTTGTTTCATTTTTACGTAAATATATCTGTTACGCTGAATGACCACGGGTTGTTACTGAATGACGTTTTGCTAAAGAGGGAAATAATATTGTCATTGTGCCCATAATTGCAATGTTTTAGTATTAGTCTGTATCATTAAATT